CAGGAGTTGGAGGTTGCTGTGAGCTGTAATGCCACGGCACTCCACCCAGGGGGACAGCTTGAGGCTCTGTCTCAAAAAAAAAAAAAAAAAAAAAGAAATTAACTTGGAGCAAGTTCCATGAGGCTGTTTCTAGTTTTCTTACTCCATAGAACGTACCAGATGTTATTGAGCACCAACTAAATGCTAAGTCCAAAGGACCCCAAAGCCCAGTTCTAGTCACTGGGAAGATGGTGAGCGAGACAAAGGTCTGATCAGGAACAAGATCTGGTGAGCGTAGCACTGGGTGCTGAGTGTGCACCTGACCCAGGCCTGGGGGTGGGGCTGAGCCGAGCGCTTAGGTGGCTCAGTAATGTAAGGGTGAACAGAGAGCAAGCTGAGGGGGAAGCAGACACCTGGCGATGGTCTCTAGACCCAGTTACGGGTAACCTCTGAAGGGGCAGGGCTGGAATGGAGAGACAGAAGGGGGAGTTTTGGCTTCAAAGTTCAGAAAATAGACTGGAGGGGTATAGGTGGGCAGACCAGAGGTGGTGATGGCCCAAATTACTGTAGAGTCAAGTGGGAACAGGGAGAGGTAGGGAAGACCCGAGACCTCTGGGGGAGAATTCATAGGACCTGTTAGGGAGGGGGGAAGTCCAAGGATGACATGAGATTTAGTGTCACCAGCTGAGGGGATGATAGTAAGTTCAGCTGTAGGCATGGTGAAGTTGAGGGCTCTGGGGACAGTGCTGCAGAGATGTCCCCCAGGCTGGGAAGAGAGACTAAGGCTGAGTTGATCCTAGGGGTCACAGTCCTTCGAACAATAGGGGCAAACAGTAGGGGTGGATGAAACCAGTCAGGAGTGTAGAGAAGAGAGGAGACCCAGACAGAACTCGAGACAGCAGGGAGGACAAACAGGTAGAGTCACCACTAAGCAAGGTCTGTTTCCTTGCTTAAAGGGAGGGGTCCAGTGGCAGACAAGGCTGATGGCTAAACATCCTTTGGGGTTAGCAACACTATCTAGACTGCAGAGGGATGAGGAAGAGATGACCAGACAATGCTCTCTGCTAAGGAGAGTCATGATGGGAGGTTAAAGAAGGTGAGACAGTGGCAGGAGAGTGGCTGAAAGATATCAACCTCAGAGGTAAGGAGGAGAGGCAGGAGGAAGGTGGGATTGCTGGGTCAGGGAGAGGAGTGGGGTCTGTGGAGTGAGAAAGGTCAGAAGGTGGACACTGGATGATGACAGAGGCTAGGCCAGGCCATAGGAGTGAATGGCCAAGAGACCAGAACTGACACATCAGGGGACACAAGCCACACAAGCTGGGAGGCCATCCTCAGTGCTTATACCTGGGGTCCAGACAAAAGCAAGGACTACAGTTCACTACTGGGGGGGACATGCATCCCATAAGCAGGATTAGAAGGTGGCTGACTCTGTGCATGTGCCATTTGGCACTAGTCTTTTGCAAATGTGGGTAGCTGAGGATGTAGGAGAGGTAGTGACTTGTCAAGGTCAGCAGCTAGGGAAATAACCCAGACATTCTGGTTGGAGCCAGCACTTGTGCACCTTGACCTGAACCTCATTCCCTCTGTAACTCCCACTCAACTACCTATGCACCCAAGGGGGACCCTCCTACTATCAGTTTTGTGATTACTAGATCTCAGTTTCAACATGGTGCTATCAACCTCAGTCTTTTAGAAGGAAAAAAGCCATTCCCTGTGTTTGGTTAGGAAACTAGCTCTGAAAAGCACTGGTAATTATGACTTGCATTTTGCTTCTGTCCAGGCAAACTGGGTAAACCTGCCTAGGGGAGTGGAGGCACTAATAACTGGCATAGGAAGCTTTCTTAAGAATGAGCAAAGTCAGGCTGCAGAGAGGATTCAACGAGCAAAGACCTCCCTTGCTGAAGGGATGTTCATCTGTGATGCAACTGCTGCAGTTTGCCAAGTGTATCCTTCCTATTTTCCAATTCCTTTTATGAAGAGCTCCACATTTATAAGCCACATATGATTGCATTTGGGGAAACTTTGACTCCTGAAATTCAAATTATCCCTTTCCCATAGCCATCTATAGGTGGGAGGAGCAGAAGTCAACCTGGCATTTTATGACCATGTTTCTAGGGCCTAACCTGCCTGTTAGGTCAGTAATCAGTAGGGGGAAACGTGGCTTATTAGGCTGTCAGCAATGGCAACTAAAGCACAACTTGAGAAGGGCACAGTAGCTCATGCCTATAAACCCAGTATATTGAGAGGCTGAGGTGGAAGGATCGTTTGAGGCCAGGAGTTTGAGACCAGCTTGGGCAACATAACAAGACCCTGTCTCTACAAAAATTTAAAATTAGCTAGGTTTGGTGGTGGTGCACACACAACTTGTAATCCCAGCTACCCAGGAGGCTGACTCAGGAGGATCCCTTGAGCCCAGTAATTTGAGGTTACAATGAGCTATGATTGGGCCACTGCACTCCAACCTGGGCTCCACAAAAAAACAACAGTACAACTTGAAGTGTAAATGAATTTAGCCTGGCATTTGTAACGTCTACTCTTTCCATTGTCAGAAAACTTGGACTGGCTGACTCGAGTGGAATTTTTCTTTCATTTGGATAAATGTGTCATGGTCCAATGCTGTTGTGACAGATGGAAAAATCCTATGTAGGGCATGCAGCAGCCTACCAGGCACGCAGCAAGGACAGTCTGGCACGCACGGCTGATAGGCGCTCATCTAGCCTTCAGTGAATTATTTATGTGCACTTCCTGGTAAGCGCCTTCCTGTTTGAACATCTCAGTCGTCAAACCGCAGAGTTCACCATTAGGGTGAGAGATTCCCTGCAGTAGGGAACGGAAGGCGCTGGGCACTGCAGAAACCCTTGGGACCGTCCCAGAACAGCCATGAGAATGAGCACGTTCAGCCAGAGTTGGGTCCCTGCTGATGTTACTAAGCCTTAGAACCGACGATGCGGTCGGGGCGACCCTCAGCCTGCTCTGTGTGGTGCCGTCTCTGGGCAGAACAGGGCAGCCGAACGGAGCTTCCCCTAACACGCCTCTCCCCCACCGTGCCCACCTCACGCCTGCCCGCCCTGTTCCCACGCCTCACCCCTCCACTCGGCCAGTGACCCATGCTAGCACCCCTCGAGCCTCACCATGCCAAACCCGGGCTTTTCTTCTGCGCTCATACCCAGCAGCAGAGACAGCCCAGTTCCTGGTCTATAGCGGGGGACCAGTCCTCCCGCGCGCCCCCGCCGGAGCCACTCCGGGTGAGCCCGGGACAGGACAGGAGGGATGCGTTCGGCTCGCAGTCTCCCAGGAACCCACCCTCCCCTGCACAGGCTTGGGGTGAGGGGTGGGGTGGGGGGTGGTGGTGGTGACCCAACCCCCAGATGAAGGAACCCCTGACCCTCCACCCCCGCACTCCTCAAGGAGGGCCTGCGACCCCCGCCACTTCAGGCCCAAAGGGTGACGTGGCCGCAGCGCCCCTGTGGGCCGGTCACGTGATGGCGGCGCGCCGTTGCCATGGCAGCGGTTGCGCCGGCCGGCGGGGGTGGGGCGGCTGGCAGAGGCGGGGCCCGGGGGGAACCCCGCGCGACCGGCGGAAGGAGGGAGGGGGCCTCGCTCGGCGCCCCGGCCGGGCCACAGGGCCTCACGGCCACATCACCGCCGCCTGCCGCGAGCCCTGAGCGAGGGGCGGACAGGGCAGCTCCGGTGAGTGATCCGCGGCGGCCCCGTGCCCACCCCTCCCTCAGCCGCTAGAGTCAGGCGAGGGTGGGGGGAAGGGTGCCTGCCCAGCTAGGGAGCCAGAATTGGACCGGGGACACTCGCCGGGGGAGGGACCTGGCTTCCTCCTGAGCAGGCTCATGATGGAGCGGAAGGAGGAGAGGACGCCGTGGAGTTGGGGGCGGCCGGGTGACCCCAGTCCCGCAGTATCCTGGGAGGGATGCGGCGCCGACAGGAATCATAGGGGGCCGCTGGCCAGGTCCTGTGGTCGCTGGGGCTTTCCAGGGGAGGGGACCGAGATGCAGGTAGACGCCTTTCAGAGCCCCCTCCCCACGCGCCCTTGTGACAGAGACTCCCCATGACCTGTGCCCCAGATGTTTAGAGGAAGTCATGACAGGCCAACTCCAAAACCTTCCCCCTGGAAATGTTTCTAGCAGACCCCCCCAGGGGGTATCGCTCATCTTTATAGAGAGGGTCACTTTTACCCTGTAAGAACTCTTTTTCCTGACTGCTTCTTATAAAAACAACGAAACAAAAAACTCAAGGAGGTTCAGCCAGCAGAGCATCTTTTGGAGCCTGAGCCTCCCGTCAGAAATGTAGGGCTCACTCTGTCCCCACCCCACCTGCTGCCTGAGGTCAGGCTATGAGGACCAGACTCTGTCCCTGCCTTTAGGCCATGAGGCCTGGCACAGGTCCTCCCCTGGGAGCCAAAGGATGGAATTCAACCTGTCCTGGGCTGCTCTCTCTGGAGGAGTTGGCTTTTATACCTTCAGGACTGCAGGCCTGTCTCAAGACCCGGCCCCTGGCAGACAGCTGGCCCTTCCTTTTCAACTCCACCCACTCAGGAACATCTGCAGGGCCAAGACTGCCGAGGCCACTTCCTGGAGGACACCCTCAGACCTCAGTGCCCTGAGCATTCCTTCTACACTCTCAGGCTTGGGCCTGGCCTATCTTGATGGTCTGTGGACTTCCCTTTTGTCCCATTGGAGGTTACTAGGGCCTTCCCTGCTTGCAGTCTGCCAAACATTTCCCTGAGTTGAACTGTGGTCCTGAAGCATCCTGACCCAGCAGTCCCCAGATGGTTTCACTCACCAGCTCCTACAGTGCCCCTATAGCCTGACACTGCCAGAGGGCCAGCACAGTCATGCTGCCTGGGCCAGTATCCAAGTATCTTCCACTCACATCTCCCTGCACCACCCATGCCCCAGGCGGCCGTCCTTCCTGCCATGTCCCCTGGAGGCTGGGAGCCATCCTAAATGTGCCTGGAGCTTATCTTCCTGCTGCTCGGAACTCTTATATGTTGAGGGGAGTACATCTTGCCTTTGAGGGAGGGTTGCCAAGGCAGTCTTCACTTCATCCTATGTGGTCCCTATCCTGGTGTTGCCTGCAGGGTGGGGGGGGGCCAATAAGAGGGGTGCTTTTCCCTGCCTCCCTACCTATCCACGGCGAGATTTAGCTCATTGGAAGAGTCACCCCCTTATGTTGTTCTCCCACTGGGCAATGAGATTCTCTGAAGCCCCTGTGGGATGCAGGAGGGGTGAAGGAGAGATGCTTGAGATGGAGAGGATAGCCTCCCCAACCCCCACCCTGTATATTGTCTTCATCAGACCTGCAGGCTCAATCCTGTTCTATATGGGAGGGGGAAGGGGTAGGGAAAAATGTATTTCCAAATTATGACATTTTCAATTATGTGGAGCTAACCAACAGATTGGTTTAATGAACATTGTTTCTCTGAATTCTCCCCAAGGGAAGGGAATGTTCCAGGGATGGAAGTGCTTGAATGCAGTGCTGCTGGCTGAGATGGGACTGAGCACCCGCATTGGCGTTCTTATAAATGACCTGGTAATTGGCATCCCCTGGCAGAAATAGAACAAAACTGTTCCGAGGATCCTATTGGCCAGAATGGCTATGGCTCTGCAGCCTGGCAGAGAACAAACAGGAGGCAAGAGAGACCTCTACCTCCAGCACCTTCTTGCTGAGCCCTGCTAGAGGCTGGCATAGATAGATGAAGTTTGGGGCATTTCCTCAGCTGCCCAACCTGGTATATAGCCTCCACTCCACCCATCCACACTCTGCCTGACTCCTAGAAACACTGATCTGTTTGTAATAGGCTGAAGTAGCTCTCCGTAGACCCTATGTGGGCCTGAATAGAGAAGTTATTCTCTGATGCCAAGTAAGCCACAAGGTGCCTGTGCCCTTGAGGTATGCCCTACAGATTAATTAGTGCTTGATTTTGGCATTGCTGCCAAGCCAGTCCCTCCCCTTGGGCCACATGAGACTTCCATCTTTTGTTTGGATTAGTGGAGATTTGGGGTTAAATTCACAGATCTTGACAGATCAGTTCTTCTTTTTTTTTTTTTTTGAGACAGAGCCTCAAGCTGTCCCCCTGGGCAGAGTGCCGTGGCATTACAGCTCACAGCAACCTCCAACTCCTGGGCTCAAGCGAGTCTCCTGCCTCCGCCTCCCAAGTAGCTGGGACCACAGGCGCCCGCCACAACGCCCGGCTATTTTTTTTTGGTTGCAGCTGTCATTGTTGCTTGGCGGGCCCGGGCTGGGGATTCGAACCCGCCACCTTAGGTGTACGTGGCTGGCGCCTTAGCCAGTTGAGCTACAGGCGCCGAGCCAGATCAGTTCTTCTGATGTTTAATCCATGTTACTATCCAACCAGATGTCTACCAGGTATGGGTCCAGGCATGTCCAGTGTCAATTTCTCCTTAAAACATACTCTTGTTATGGTGGATTTATTTTCCATTTGCTGAAGGTTTCCATTGCAATCCTGGATGTGGCTTTAGTTTTATAAACCCAGTATTTTTTTAGGTCAAACTGTACTGATTAAAATTTAAGTTGGATTTAAGAAACTAGCAGCTACCTAGAAATGTTTATCCCATGGTTGGCACCTAGACATTGAAAGCAGTTCTGAGTTTCCAGGTGCTCTATCTTGTTCAAAGTCCTGTACTTGGGAATATCCTCATTTTGCACAGGAAGGAGTGAGGTCAGAAAGGTCAGCTGCTATGCATAGAATCACACAGTCGACTGAAATCCAGGTGTTATGACTTCAGGTGCTAAGGGCCTCCTTCTAAATAGCTGCTGTTCCTTTGGACCCCATGTTCTGACATGCAGCATATATAGCAGGCCCTGGGGAAAGTTAAATGGGCTTGGAGTCTGGCTTTACAAGACCACAGAAACCCTCTCAGCTGCCTGAGTGCCTCTCTTCCCTTCCCCAGCCTGGCTCCCACCATGAGCACTGAGCTCAACGTGCCTGTGGACCCCTCCACTCCTGCCTGCTCTGAGCCTGGCCACAAGGGCATGGATTACCGTGACTGGGTCCGCCGCAGCTACCTAGAACTGGTCACCTCCAATCACCACTCGGTGCAGGCCCTGTCCTGGAGGAAGCTCTACCTGAGCAGGGCCAAACTGAAGGCCTCCAGCAGGACCTCAGCCCTCCTCTCTGGTTTTGCCATGGTGAGTGCAGGCCCAAGGTGAGACCTCAGCCAGTCAGTCAGAGAGGCAAAGTGGTCCCTCTAGGCTGCTGGCAGCCGGGATAGTCCATTGGGAAATGTCTTTCCATGTCCCAGTTACTCTAAGAGGGCTGGCTGCGTGGTGCAGAGTAGGGAGAGGCAATTCTGAGAGGATTGGGGTGGGGGTGGGGTCCAAGCACCTGAGTCCTCAGAAAGCCCACTCTCTCCAGTGCACATGAAATATTTGCTTAGCATGGAGGTTAGTGCAGGGTAATTAAAATATTTTCAGTGTACAGGGTTTCCTGGGGACAGATATCCATGTCTGTCCCATCTCAAGCACTACCCAAAAGTTTCGCAATCTGAGAAATGTGAGGAGGGGCTCACAGATTGATTGGGGTTTCTCAGTTTAGCCCAACTGGGGATACAGACTTATTCTCTGAATGTTGCCTCCAGAATAACAGCGCAGAACCTCCAGCCTGGCTCCCAGCTGCCAGTTTCCCTGAGTGATCCCCTACAAGCCATGCCCTAGGACAAGAGTCAGTCTGGGGGCAAAGCCTTGGCTCTAACAAGAGGCCCATCTCCTATTGACTCTAGAACTCTTGACCCACCCCTCGGGGGATTTGTTCCAGAGTTGAGGACTCAAGAGTGTAAGACAAAAGTGCACTCAGAGGTTTTACTGGGCTGGGAGCTGTTTATTTCTTTATATTAAGACAGTTGTTTTTTAGGCAGCGCCTGTGGCTCAGTGACTAGGGCGCCGGCCCCATATACCAAGGGTGGTGGGTTCGAACCTGGCCCCCTGCCAAACTGCAACAAAAAAATAGCTGGGTGTTGTGGTGGGTGCCTGTGGTCCCAGCTACTCAGGAGGCTAAGGCATGAGAATCGCCTAAGCCCAAGAGCTGGAGGTTACTGTGAGCTGTGACACAACAGCACTCTACCAAGGGTGACAAAGTAAAACTCTGTCTCTAAAAAAAAAAAAAAAAAAGTTGTTTTTCTATAGTGCAACACCTCAGTTGTTAAGTTGGTAGTGCAATTAAAAATAAAAAGCTGTCAGAGTGAGCCACTGTGGACACAAGGGCCTGCTCAGTTATTGGTATGGGCCACTCTTGGACAAATGAGACATTTCATAGAGGGTAAGGCTTTGTACAAGGTGGGGCAGAGGTCACCTAATTTTGTGGTTAGACTTAGTTAGGTCTTGTGTTTTATTTTTTAAACATATTTATGAAGTATATAATCATACAGTATACAACTTTGGCTCAGAGTGACTTTTTCCCCATAGTTTTTATCTCATTAAAAAGAATATTTTCTCAAGCTTATTTCTGGATTTCTTAGATTACCTAATACAATATAAATGCTATGTCAGTAGTTATGCTGTATTGATTTTTTATTTATTTTTTATTTTTTATTTTTTTGAGACAGTCTCACTTTGTCACCCTCAGTGGAATGCCATGGCATCATAGCTCACAGTAACCTCAAACTCTTGGGCTCAAATGATCCTCTTGCCTCAGCCTCTCAAATAGCTGGTACTATAGGCACCTGCCATAATGCCTGGCCAGTTTTTTTTATTTTTAGTAGAGATGGGGTCTTGCCCTTGCTCAGGCTGGTCTGGAACTCCTGAGCTTGGCCTCTCAGTGTGCTAGGATTATGGGGTTGAGCCACCATGCCTGGCCTTTTGTTATTTATTTATTTATTTGAGACAGAGTCTTGACTGTGTTGCCCTCAGTAGAGTGCCATGGCGTCACAGCTCACAGCAACCTCCAACTCTTGGGCTTAAGCGATTCTCTTGCCTCTACCTCCCAATTAGCTGGGTGCCCACCACAACACCCAGCTAAACTTTTGTTATTTTTTATTGTGATTGCCTTCCCTACCCCTCAAAAAAAAAAAAGAATTTGTAGATTCAGAACCCAGGGATATGAGGGCCCACTGCACTAGGAAGCTGAGGGAGGGGCAAGCGTGGGAAAACGGGGGGGGGGGGAAGCAGCAGGGTGGCCACTTGATTGGTGGATCACCATTAAATCCGATCATTCATCAGACTTAGAGGCAGCTTGGGGGAAAATAAGTGATAAATGCGATCATCTGAAATCATAGACAAACCAGGATTGGGACACAGAAAAATGAAAACAAGCAGTTTGCTAGGTGGATATCCTTTTTATATTATGTATTCTCTAACAAGAATTGCAAAGATATTCCTTTGTCCAACAAGTAGCTATACTTTAAGCTTATTTCTTCATGGCTAGCCTTCCCCTAACACAGATCCAGTGATCCAAGGCCCCTCATAAAATCTCTGCATAAACAGTGAAAATGGCCTTTGAGCCTCTTCTGCTCTTTTTTTTGCAGTTTTTGGCTAGGGCTGGGTTTGAACCTGCCACCTGTGGCATATGGGGCTGGCACCCTACTCCTTTGAGCCACAGGTGCTGCCCCTCTTCTGCTCTTGAGATAGAACACAACTACTTTTTATAGACCTTATACCCTACTTCTTTTTTTTTAGGATTTAAAAAAATTTTTGAGATTAATATGAAGATACAAACAATTAGGTTACAATGTCTGCATTGTTAGGTAAGGTCCCTCTTGTGTTCTGCATCCAGGCGGTATGCCATATATTGTGCCCATTAGGTGGGAGCACACCAATCCCCCTCCCTCACCAGCTTGAACTGAGTTTTTCTCGTGTGTGTATGTTTGTCTACTGGCTTCATATTATTGAGTACCTTGGGTTCTTGTGATACTTTACTAAGAAGAATGTATTTCTTTTTTTTTTTTTTTTTGAGACAGAGCCTCAAGCTGTCCCCCTGGGTAGAGTGCCGTGGCATCACACTCACAGCAACCTCCAACTCCTGGGCTCAAGCGAGTCTCCTGCCTCTGCCTCCCAAGTAGCTGGGACCACAGGCGCCCGCCACAACGCCCAGCTATTTTTTGGTTGCAGCCGTCATTGTTGTTTGGCGGGTCCAGGCTGGGGATTCGAACCCACCACCTTAGGTGTATGTGGCTGGCGCCTTAGCCGGTTGAGCTATAGGCACCGAGCCAGAAGAATGTATTTCAACTCTATCCAGGTTAATACAAAAGATGTAAAGTTTCCATCTTTTTATGGCTGAATAGTATTCCATGGTTTACACATACCACCACAGTTGGTTGATTTATTTATTTATTTATTTTGAGACAGAGCCTCAAGCTGTTGCCCTGTATAGAGTGCTGTGGCATCACAGCTCATAGCAACTTCCAACTCCTGGGCTTAAGTGATTCTCTTGCCTCAGCTTCCCAAGTAGCTAGGACTACAGGAGCCTGCCACAATGCCTGGCTTTTTTTGGTTGCAGCCATCATTGTTGTTTGGCAGGCCCAGGCTGGATTCGAACCTGCCAGGTCTAGTGTATGTGACTGGTGCCTTAGCCGCTTGAGCCACAGGTGCCGAGCCCATACCACAGTTTTTTAATATATTCATGTGTTGATAGGTACTTAGGTGTTTCCACATCTTGGTGATTATAAATTGATCTGTGATAAACAATCCAGGGCAAATGTCCTTATGATAAAATGATTTTTTTTGGCTCAGAGCCCATAGCACCGTGGTTATGGCACTAGCCACATACACCGAGGCTGGCGGGTTTGAACCTGGCCTGGGCCAGCTAAACAACAATGACAATAGCAACAAAAAATAGCCAGGCATTATGGTGAGTGCCTATAGTTCTGGCTACTTGGGAGGCTAAGGCAAGAGAATTGCTTAAGCCCAAGAGTTTGAGGTTGCTATGAGCTGTGATACCATGGCACTTTATTGAGGGCAACAAGTGAGACTGTCTCAAAAAAAAAAAAAAGATTTTCCCCCCCTGGGTAGACTCCTAGTAATGGGATTGTGGGATCAAATGGAAGGTCTATTTTGAGTCTTTTTTTTTGAGAGAGAGTCTCACTTTGTCACCTTTGATAGAGTGCCATATTACCCAGCTATTTTTAGAGACAGGGTCTTGCTCTGGCTCAGGCTGGTCTCGAACCTGTGAGCTCAGGCAATCCATCCACCTTGGCCTCCCAAGTACTGGGATTACAGGCCTGAGCCACCATGCCCAGCATAGTTTGAGCACTTTGAGAATTCTCCATACTTCTTTCCAAAGAGGCTGTATTGCAGGATGATGAGGCCCAATGGAGAGAAAGAGCACCCAAACACTATATTTAAGAGGAAAAAGGATTTTATTCAGCGGTCAGAGCTAACAGCATTGAAGGATTTGAAATGGCCATGCTCCCTGGCTGGCTTGGTCTTTCTCTTTATATCTCCAGTCAAAGTTCCACCCCTCAAGTACTTTTTTTTTTTTTTTTTAAGAGACAGAGTCTCAGCTCAGCGCCTGTGGCTCAAGTGGCTAAGCCATGTACACCCAAGGTGGTGGGTTCGAATCCAGCCCGGGCCTGCCAAACAACAATACGGCTGCAACCAAAAACTAGCCGGGCGTTGTGGTGGGCGCCTGTGGTCCCAGCTAC